GAATGAGCAATTCTTTCGTATCGTCAACTAGCTCTTTCAATCTCGCATGTCATCTCACAGGTGACATGGAGAACGTAAACGAATTTTTTCCTGTCCGTTGACTTCCTAGAGAATGGAGGTGTTGTTGGAATGATGGAAAAAATGAGTTCTCCATCCATACCTTCACCCAAGGGGGAAACAGCGGACTTCAAGACTTTAAAAGACTTCAACGGACTTTAATCATAGTGACTTCATATTTTCACAAGACTTCATAAGTCTTCTAAAGACTTCATAAGACTTCATAGGACTTCAAAGAACTTCACAAGACTTCATAGGATTTCATGAGACTTTAGAGGACTTCAAAAGACTTCGTGAGACTTCATGGACTTCATGAGACTTTATAAGACTTCATCAGACTTCATAAAACTTCACAAGACTTTGCCAGACTTCACAAAACTTCGTAAGACTTCACAAGACTTCACTAGATTTCACAAAACTTCATAGGACTTTACAAGACTTCAAGAGGCAGATTCTATGAGTATCAAAAAATCTTATAGAAATTACATGAAACTTCTATAACATGCAAAAAACAAAACTTATCATATAGAGATTACAATAGTGTTTCTTGTTTCTGAGAATTGTTTCTCGCAGTTAGAGGTGTTAGCCGCCGATTTTTCGCCGCCGCCGCCGAATAGGACATCTCGGCGGGAACTTTTTCGCCGCCGTCGACCGAGTTGAAGGTTACAATTCATGTTTCCTCCTTTTCTAAATTATCACTTGTAGATAATAATCAGTAACATTTCAAGTTTGGTCTGTGTCACGATGAGATATTGTTGAAACGAACAGAACTCTTAAGAAAATAGATAATAGTGTATATTTTCGTGGATGACTTATAGTCTGAAAGTCGAGCTGATGAGCAAATATATCTCTTTGTGATTTCATAATGCTTCTATACTTATAACGTTCTCACTTGCTTTGTTACTTCATGCACAATAGATTCATCGCTATGTTTTCTTCATTTTGTCATGTTTCACTTTTTCAATATGCAATTTTGACCAACTGTCTAATTTAGGTTCGAGTATAAATGAAACTAATACTACGATTCGAATTTGAATTCGAATCGACATTCCTGTCTGCTGAGAAAAACTATTTAGTTTAAATTCGAATTCAAATAATCAACGAAAATAAGTGTTCGCCCTATTCTCAACACACAGCAAAATATCAACTTTAATTTGAATTCAAACTACAATGTCAGTTTTAGTTGCACTTATGATCTAATTCAAGCTACAATTTTTGAATTTAATTTGTATTCGAACTTCAAATAGAAAGATAGTCATATTATTGCCGTTTCGACTTGTATCATGTCTTATGGTTGTTTTATTTGAAGATATTTTCTGATGGAACAGTGGGTTTTTTGAATTGACGAAAATAAAGTCACGTATAGTAGAAACAATTTGACATAAGCTGTTAGCGTGCTAATAGGAAAATAATGTAATAATTCTATGAGAAGAGAACGTCTAATATTTGCTTTAATAGTAGGAACCCATGAAAGACTCTGAAATAACATATAGAAAATTTTATCATCGCCGTCGCCGCCGAAAAGGATCTCGTCGGCGAGAGCTCCCCGCCGCCGCCGCTGACGTACGAAAACTTTTTCGCCGCCGCCGCCGATCTAATGATCGGCTAACACCTCTACTCGCAGTATGTCCATATGTAGAATAAAGATGTAGCAATGACACAAAGCGTTGATGAAATTAAAACTGAGACTAGGGGTGGCACTTTATCTTTATTTCACTTTATTAAAGTAAAGTAGATTTACTTTCTCAGAAAAGTAAAGTAAAGTAAAGTATCTCTAACTTTATCGAACAAGCAAGATATAGTGAAATAAGATAAAGTAAAGTATGTAGTTGATGCTTATTCATTTATTAGTTTATTATCACACATTAATCATACTCTAATACGTGAAAAGTTGCGTCGAATTATGGTTCGGAGGCCCCAAAACGTTTAAACCTTCTTTTATTACTTTAGAAGTCAGCATCGAACTCTAAATATTTTTCATAATTCTGTATTCCACATGATCACAACTCAAGTTTTGATACTTGGGGTCCCCCTCAGGTATCGAAAAAAAAAATTTTCTGGCTTTCAAATCACGAGTCTTTATAATTCAATAGCACTAAGTGTGCAGATTACAAATATCTCATTTATTTTTAGAAAGTGACACGATAGTTGAGCCTCTAACATTTGAGGGTCAATAGTTGAGTCTACACATTAGAGCCCTAGAAATTTGAGTGTCTTGACGGTCGAGGTTGTTGCCTTTTGAGCCTCTTCACATTTTAAGTCAAACCATTAACTAAGTGAAGTATTTATTACAACTAGGGTGTGGGATGTAAACGGTGGTAGGGTGTGAATGCGGACTGTGGGTGTAGGATGTTGGTGTGAATGTGGACTGTGGGTGTGAGTAGCAGTGTTTTATTTAAGTTTTTTTTCTCCGTAGGAGCGATTTGCAATTTCGGGAGAGCGAAAAATTTTTCTTCAGGAGGGCAAGCATATAGTTCGTCCCGTGATGATCGCGAGTCTCGGGGGAGCGAACTCAATATTCGTGGAAGCGCTTTCTCCTTGGGCACTCCCTGGATTAAACACCGGTGAGTAGGGTTGTAGGTGTGGATGTTGTTCTTTCTACCACTCACCCTCACTCTTCACACAAATGTCCACCGACGCTTCCCTGCATCCCCACGCTAGGGATGTACCGAGATCGAGAGGCTCGGTCTCGGTTGGTTTCAGTCTCGGTCTCGGTTAGTCTCAGTCTCGGCCGAGAATGAACGAGACTGAGAGTCTCGATTCAGGCTCGGTCTCGGTACAGCCCTACTCCACGCCTTACCAACACCTGCACATCCACACCTATAACTAGTTCACGAGTACTTATTCAAACGGTTTCAAACAAGCTCGCATAGAGGGTTTACTCGCTTGACAAGAGTTAACTGCAGAAGGGTCAAACGTAAAGAGGCTCAACTGTCCAAAGCTCAAATACTAAAGGACTCAGACGTCCAGAGTCCAAATGTGTAGGCTCAATTGTCGAGGCTGAAATGTTGAAGGCTCAACTGTCTATGTAACCTTCGGAGAGTGCTCAGATAATAAGAAAGATGGGAAGCACTCCATAACTCCTTTAAAAACTAGCTTTGTCCAGAAATTCCACTAAAATAGGGTTCTATCTCGCCGAAAATAAATCCATTTTTTGAGAATTTGTTTCTTGATAAGAAAGCATAAGAAACCATTGAAAGTTCGATTTTTTTCTACCGATAAATGGCAAATACTGTCTCGATTGGATGATATTATCTCTCATACCTTTTAACGGTACAAAACTAGAGTATCTATAGGTGCAGCGGTCGAATTGCTTCACAAAATGTGCAACTGAATGTGCTCTTTCTGATGACACCATTTTAGACTTGAAATTTCGAATCTGTAAAAGCACTGTTGGCTCAAAACTCTATCCTTCAGAGCCCATTTACTTCTTGCTTGGCTAATACTCTGTAGGCCTCGAATATGAAAATCCCATTTGACTTTAGATAAGTGTCATATCTGGAAATAAAACACAAAACTAAGTCAGCATGTACGAGTTATAGATGTCAACTCAGTTGGATTGGTACAGGTACCCACTGCTTTGATGTTCCATGGGTCAGCCATAACCCAAACCAGTTGCTTGAGTAGATCATTTATATAATGCCACCTCTGATTTACCTATAAAAAGTTCCCGGTAGATGGGGTGAGTTAACTTCAAAGTCATCCTTCTGCCACCCCGTTAAATACTTCAAATTTCATAAAAATTAGCTACGAGAAGATTTTTTCAATGGGTGTATGGTTAGAATAGAAACTTTTGGTCAAGTCAAATCCATTTGAACTTCGATGAAACGAATTTAGTGGTATTTTCATGAAAATGTTAGAAAAAAACTAGATCTTCATGATACTAGAGAGTGCTTCGGATCTTTCATATTATCTGAGTACTTTCTAAAAATAAATGAGATATTTGTAATCTGCACATTTGGTGCTATTGAATTATAAAGACTCGTGATTAGAAAGCCAGAAATTTTTTTTCGATACCTGAAGGGACCCCAAGTATCAAAATTTGAGTTGTGATCATGTGGAATAGAGAATTATGAAAAATATTTAGAGTTCGATGCTGACTTCCAAAGTAATAAAATCAGGTTTAAACTTTTCGGGGCCTCCGATCCGTAATTCGACGGAACTTTTGACGTATTAGAGTGTGATTAATGTGTGATAATAAACTAATAAATGAATAACCATCCATTAGATGCTTTACTTTATCTTATTTTACTATATCTTGCTTGTTCGATAAAGTTAGAGATACTTCACTTTACTTTACTTAACTGAGTAAAGTAAGTTACTTTACTTTACTGAGTGAAGTAACTTACTTTACTTTACTCAGTAAAGTAAAGCCAAATGCTTCACTTTACTTTACTTTAATAAAGTGAAATAAAGATAAAGTACCACTTCTACTCACACCCTCAAAATGACGCAATAATGTTGGCGAGATAAGAGAAAGGGAAAGGAGTCTTTTGGATCGAGTCTAAATGAGATTATAACGACAATTATATGAGCAAAAGTTCAGGCCGTATATATAGGGGCTCCGACGTCAAAGGGTTAAAGAACATCTGTCTTGAGTTCTGTCGAGAACTTTTTATTTTTATTTATGATAATTCCAAAGTACATTCATATAAAATCAAATCGTCTTCTAGTTCTTTAATATTGTCTACTCTTAATAAACTAAAACAGTTTAGTAACACTTCATCTTCAATTTGGTGATGCGAAATAGCACTAATACATTTTGATCTATTTAATCGTATACAATCAGCTGATATTTCTAATAGAACACCTTTTTCACCAATAAAATTTTTTGCCGTATCTCTATTTAAACTTGTCGATGAAAATGCGGGAAAAACGATAATCTCTGTTTGCTTAAACTTTCGTAAAAATCCTTGAAAATCTTTTTCATCTAATAAACGTAATCATCTGTACAATTTGACATTTGTTATACTCGATAGTTTGTTGCTTGTATCTGAATATTTTAATAAAGCATATCGTAATGCTTTAATATAGTCTCCAACTAATGATAATAATTCTTCATCTAATAAATTAAGAATATCATTAATTATTTTATAGTAATATGGCTTTTGTAATGAATAAAGATATATGATATTTTTTTCTGGATTGATTCCTTTTAAAGCTTCTACAAACATTTCAGCACATTTTAATAGATTTTCTATTGTAAAATGAGTTGGAATACCATTTGGATAAATATTTTTTGATATTAATAAATCATGTAGTTGATGCATAATATTTTTATGATAATCAATATTTGAGTTGATAGTTGAAAAATCTGTAGTCATAAAACCATTATATAAATAATAGTTTACATCTTTTAACTTTAATTTTATATCATCCAATGTAAAACCAAATTTTAAGAAATAAATTTCACCACATTGTATAGCTTTTATTTGTTGTATTACTTTATCAAATTGATCTGTAACAAGCAATACTTTTTTATATTTACACGCCCATGATTGATGATGTTCTACTCGTCCACAAAATATGATTATACCATTAATATTCCAAAACGATCCAATTTCGGATATGATTTCTTCTCCATTTGATCCTGATGTAATTAAAATAAAATTATTTTCTACATCGGATATAATCAATTCAATTAGATCAATTTTAGTATCCATTTGTAACACTGTATAAGTTTCTGGTAAAAATTCTTCTGTTAATTTTTTAACATGATATTGATTTATTCGGTTTTTTATTTGTTTATCATACCAAACAATTTTTTCGATTAAATTATTTTTGTTATTATAGAATAATTTCTTTTCAAAACCTTCGAAGTAATAATCAAGCATTTTTAAGCGTTTGGGTTTTTCACATTCTACAATTCCGATTTCTTTTGTCAGATTAGAAATTAAATCTGATATTTTGGCTTTAAATGTTACTTCACTAATTGTACCAGCTACTACCGCTCCTATACCCAATGTTGCTATACCACATTGCCATCCAACAGTTTGCATACTAATTGCTAATGCAATTATACCGAATAGACCATGAACTGCAATAATAGTTCCTAATGTAGTTATTCGCTGTATACCACGAATCAGATTGTCAACATCTTTGGTCAATTCATTAAGATAATTTTTAGTTCTTTTTGTACCAATAATTGCTTCAAGTAGCTGAAGTGCATTCGAAATTATTTCTTTTGCACCCTCTTTCTGTCGTTGAAGTTCAATCAAAATTTGACCAATACGTTCATCATACTTTTGTTGGATAGATATTAGGTCACTTTTTAATTGATGTAATTGGTAGACATTAGAGTGGTACCATGCATGTCGCTTTTGTAAATCTTCAACTTTTTTCTTTATTTCATTTAAACCTTCCAGTGACTGATCAAAAACATTAGATATTAAATCATTTAATTTTTGTCGCTGTTCTCTGACTAATTCCAAAAGTCTTGTTTCGACCTATAATTCAACAAACAAAGAGAAAATTGTAATGACGCTGATGAATAGAGTAAACAGATGGTTTATCGAATCTGAAGTAGGGGTGGCACTTTATCTTTATTTCACTTTGTTAAAGTAAAGTAAAGTAACTTACTTTACTTTATCGGGTAAAGTAAAGTAGATCTATTTTATCCGAAAAGTAAAGTAAAGTAAAGTAAAGTGACATATCTCTAACTTTATCGAACAAGCAAGATATAGTAAAATAAGATAAAGTAAAGCATGTAGTTGATGCTTATTCATTTATTAGTTTATTATCACACATTAATCACGCTCAAATACGTCAAAAGTTGCATCGAATTACGGATCGGAGGCCCTGAAAAGTTAAACCTGATTTTATTACTTTGGGAGTCAGCATCGAACTCTGAATATTCTTCATAATTCTCTATTCCACATGATCACAACTCAAGTTTTGATACTTGAGGTCTCCCTCAGGTATCGAAAAAAAAATTTGCTGGCTTTCCAATCACAAGTCTTTATAATCTCCCCCGGACAAAAAAACGGCCTTTTTCTATTAACTCGTTCTCCTCTGTAGTTCAATGCTATATCTTTAATTTTTTTATATATAGATAAAGCGTGTGTTAAAATACATATGTATATAAGAAAATCTACTTCACTGACTTTCTGTCTCAAATATCTGAGATACCTACAAATAGGTATGATTTTCCTACTATCTAAAAAATATCGACCACGATTTTTTTAGGACAAAATTTGTTTCATCAATAACAAAAATGAAGCTATTTATAGGCATATGTTTATTATATAATTGTGCAATATAGAGATATAGAACAACAAAATTAGTTACATAATATAAAAAAACTATTGGTTTGCTCTCTCTTGAATTTCACGTAAAGAATGAGAAATATATGATTGAATTACTTTCCTCACCGTAGAAGATGCACAGTTATGATCCCTTGCAATAATTGATATCTTGGTTCCATCTCTTTCCCTTTCCATTATTATTTGTGTTCGTTCAATATCACTCAAATGAGACATTTTAGTTATGAATCAATTTCACCGATTATCACTTATATATGCGCTATGGTCTATTTATCGTTCTTTTTCTTGTTCTTTTTTTTTATTTCATGTTTTCCTCATTGTTGTTCTCGTCTAGTCAGGTACATCTCTGTTCTTCTCCACTTCATCTGAATTATCGTCTTTTCTTAACTTATTTTTATGTTTTATTACAAGATACATTATTATTGGTATTTGCTAGATAGTAGGAAAATCATACCTATTTGTATATATCTCAGATATTTGAGACAGAAAGACAGCGAAGTAGATTTTCTTATATACATATGTATTTTAACCCTTTGAGTACGGACGACGAAAATTCTCGTCCTGATATTTCAGGACTTAAATAGTTTTACAAGATACGGTTTGTTGATTATTTAATCATACGAGTTGCATGGAAATTTTTGTTTAGAGTATTTGTGCGTTAAGATTATCTATACTAATGCGATGATTATTGATTGTCCCTTTTTTCTTTGAATCCGGGATTATTTTTATATAGTAAATTAGACAAGAGAGACTGCTGTTAGATAAATCGGTCCTATAAAAGTTTTCCACTCATACCCCAGCTATATTATGCCAAATGAAAAAGTTTGATAAGTTGAGCACTTTTTGTGACGGACCTTGATCTTTTAAATGAGACTATGAAGAAATCTGAGAGTGACAACGATTTAAATGACTGAAATTTTACAAGTTAATTTATCCAGAACTCTTCATGGTTTCATTTAAAAGATCAGATTCCATCACAAAAAGTACCCAACTCACTGAC